GTTTTTTTTTTTCATTCCATCAAAAGTTCATCTCACACAAAAATTTGCTTACACAATCTGAGTTGAAATCTAAGCATTTGGTTGATTTCTAATAAAACGAATATAAAAATCGTGAAGAAAGGTCTGAAAATATAAGTGATTAGTTTCTTGCAGCGAGTTCAGTGTGCTAGTAGTTAATATTATTTGGCATTTTCAATGTATTTCAGGCTGAAGGTCAGAATTCCCATATGAAGTGCAGGATATGCCTCGCCTTTATAAAAAAAAAACAACAATGTATTGAATCTTCCTCTTAAAACACAAATAGTTATTTAAACTTCATGCTGGATTGTATCACAATAATATCAATATGTGAGGGTAGAATTACCAAAAGTTGAATTATAAAGGAAGAATTTCAGTGAAAATGATTTTTGTGCTTATGGAATAGACTCAAATACTAGCTCCAGTGGAGACTTAATGCTATCACCACTTGTTCATTCTCAGAAGCCATTTGATTTGAAACATGCTTGAGAAAAGCTTGACCTCTCTGGGACTACCGGTCATCGACAGCCGTGTTCCTGGAATCCAGTGATTATGGTGCGGCTAATCGCGGTCCATTATCCAGCCCGAGTTCAATGTCCAACTGCAACAAACACCTCCATCTGTCAGCCACCTCTTCTCACGGGCAGGGATCTCACACTGGAACAGGTATGATTATCTAATAGACTGCGGGGAGGATAATTGCATAAACTAATCAATACCACCTCATTAGGAGAGCAGTTTTGGCTAAAAGGTCAATCGCAGCACCCATCACAGTCCTTTAACTGAATATATTAAGGGGAAGACATCATTTTACTTAAATACCAAGAGCAGTTTAATGCATTTACAGGAGGCAGCAGACATCAGTCTGAGGGACGTTACAGTAAAGTGAAGCTTGCAGACTTCCTTGAAAAGGTAGCAACGCTGCTTTAATAGCTTTGTTTTGTTGCTGCTGCAAGTCTTTTACATTGGTAATCAGCCTCTGCAAATCCCGCATTCACACTGCAGGAGATTGTGGAGGGTTCGGCTAAAAACACAATGTAAGCATGATTGAAAATATTTGTTCGCAATGTTTCAAAGATTATCTCAAGCAGCTAACTCACCTGACATACATTTGTCAGTTTGATTCACATAAAATTACAGGGGAAAAATAAAGTTAAAGTCATTAGGAACTATTTACCAACAAGGAAGTAGGCAAGCAACCTTAACCTGGGAGAATAATCCCAATATTACTCAATAGTCATACAACACTTGTGGCAAGTATGAATCTTTTTGTTATGTTGCAAACAGACTGTTCACAGTACTTTTAGTCAGACTGGTGTGGTGGTTAAAATGACTATCACAGAACCAAAATAAATCTCACACATGGCGTTTCCATCAACAGTAACTCAGCAGAAATGTCTCTCAACATGACCCTGAACCTCCTCGCTGTTTACTCACTGTAGGGGTGCAATCACAACATGATTGTTTATTAACTTACGTAATAGCCTGCAAGGATTCGGTTATTCAATGTGAGTCAGCATTTAAATTCAGATTTACTTCTATAAACACCACACAGCTTCTTCTTTTTTCTTTCAGACTGGTGAAAATGACACTATTTGCTTTCCTGTGATGAGTTGAAATATAGATCTGCAAACAAGTCAGCTGCTTTAAAGTCCACTCGACTTTAAACAGAAGCCTGGTGCTTACCTCATACCTGAGAAGTCAAACCTTTGTAAGTATTTTTGACTCAAGGATCAGTCCCTGATTTTGATGACCTGCTGCTTGAAAAGTGCAAAAACATCACGGCATGTAGCATTTATCACAGTAACACTGTCCACAAGCAAATTCTGGAAATTACCCGTGTGCGCTGACTTATAAAAAATAAAAACGTATATCAACAAAGAAAGAAAAAAGAGGGACTGTAATAACCCCAATGGACTCCATGATGATAAGTTAAGCAAATCAAAGACTCATCGCATGCATTCATTCTTGCAGTCTGTTATCTATCAAAGAAATCTTACAATAATTTTCCAAAATCTGATTATGTATTAATATGAACAAAGTCATATATAAAGTATGTAATATAATATAAAGTCATGAAAAAGAAAGTGCCCCTTTTTTAAAATTCTAAGGTTTTCAATATCAGGCCATGATAATAAAAGAAAAATGCAGATTCAGTCTCAGTCTATGAAAAACACAGGCTGTTGCTACGGTTCATATGGGAAGGGTCATGAGGCCTTTCCCATATAAACTGACGCCTGTCATTCTATAATAAGAAACATTATTTACAAGTGGAAAACATTCAAAACACACACCAGTCTTCCAACGAAAGAATGCACCAGAACATCCCCACCCCAAAGTCCGACAGTGCAGTGATTAGAGAAATTGCAAAAAAATCAAAGAGCTGTTTCTCAGGCTGTACAGGTCTCAGTTAATATGTTAAATGTCACCATGTTCGGTGAAAACCACGCAGCACACCGACACAAACACCTCATACTAACTGTGAAGCACGGTGGTGGAAAGGGGATGATTTGGGCTCATTTTGCAGCCACAGTATCTGGACACCTTGCAGTCATTGAGGCATGAACTCCTCTGTATACCAAACTATTCTAGAGTGAATGTGAGGTCATCTGTCTGAGAGTTGGTTATGTAACAGGACATGAACAAAACTGTGTCTTTCAATGTGAAAAACTGATGAAGTCAGAGATAAAAATGACTACTTCAAGTTCTTGTTGCTGAAATTCAATCATTGGGTGTACTTAGTTTTTCATGCACTGCTTCTGCATGTTGGCTTACTATTTGTTAAATTAATGATAAAATGTTGTCATATGTATGTCACCTTTATTCAGCTGAGGTTGTTTTTAAATCATTTTGGAACCTGTAATGTCCTGATAGGTTAAACCCTAGAATTGAAGGAGGGGGCACAGTGCATGTCATTTATATTGATTTAGCTCGCCTAAAATTTGAGATTATATCCCTGCAGCTGTAAAAAAAAAAAAAAAAAAAAAAAAAAAAAAAAGGAAGTATGTTTGTTTTCCCTCTTCCTGGGAGCACGGATGGAATTGGCTCGCTGTTTGGACATGGATCATGGCTGTTTCCTGTGGTGCTTTGTGCTGTTATTTATCACAAGAACTCACTAAAATCTGTTTTGTTGTTATTATTTAAAGCTTTCACTGGGGAATGAATTTGTTTGAAGACATTTCATAAAGAAAAAAGAAAAAAATCCTCTACTTTTGTTGCTTTTCCAAGTACTTTTGGAGTACGTTTCATCTCACTCGGGTTGCTGTGCCAGACTCTAATGGGCTCATCACTGCCCCCTGTGTATTGAAACAATTAGTATATTGGTTCTTACTGGAGATGGCAGTTGAAATCACATGTTGGATTTCTCTGTACTAAAAGCACAAATTAAATTGATGCTTAGTATATCTTATACTCTAAATCCCAGAGACACAGAAAAACATTTTATTTCCCAGAACCACTGAAAAAATTCCTTTAGAAAAAAAACAAACAAACATCGTTCATCCACACACAAAAAACAAATCACTTGCTTCTTGACTGACATCCAAATTTTACATCTATATCTCTCAGACATCAAAAGACATGGGACAGAATATGCACTTAGTAGAGAGAGCAAACAGATCCAAGATGCATACTACTACACACTGCTCAAAAAATTATAGGAATACTTTGACAACATTTCCGAGTTCAATGGGAATAAGAATTTTGCTGGGTGTTTGTACTGATATGGACTGGGTAATGTGTTAGGGGGGGGAAAAGGATGCCACACTGTTTGATGCAAATTAAAATCATCAACTTACATAGGGCTGAATTCAAAGACTGCCAGAAAACCCAAGCGAAAAAAATGACGTATGCTTGGTTATTTTGCCAAAATTTTATTTCAGCAACTCAAAATGGGACTTTGTAAAGCACCCAAGTTCTATAGGGACCAGCATTGTCATGCACTAGGTGGAACCCAAGAACGCCTGCACCAGCGTAGGGTCTGATGATGGGTCTAAGGATTTCATCCCAATATCTAATAGCACAGTTGCTTATCATAGAGAGCTCGTAAATCTCTTCGTAGATATGCCTCCCCAGACCAAATTGGTAATGCTGGGCGATGTTTAAGGCAGCATAACACTCTCCACAGCTTTTCTAGACCCTTTCACATATCTCAGATGTGCTCAGGGTGAACCCGCTCTTATCTGTGAAAAGCACAGGGACCAGGGCTTTTCACCAATACCGGTAAACCAATTGGCCATCATGGCGCCGGGCAGGAAGCACGGGGCCCACTAGAAGACACTGGACAGTCAGGTCACTCTCATAAAGTCTGTTTCTAATTGTTTGGTCAGAGACATTCACACCAGTGACCTGTTGGAGGTCATTTTGCAGCTCGGGCAGTGCTCATCCTGTTTCTCTTTGCACAAAAAAGCAAACAGCAGTCCTGCTGATAGGTTAAAGACTTTCTATGGCCCTGTCCAGCTCTCCTAGAGTAACTGCCAGTCTCTGGGAATCTCCTCCATTCTCTTGAGATTGCACTGGGAGAAAATGGACTACCTATCAAACCTCTGTAGGGTCCGGGATCGCCTCATGCTACAAACACTGACAAATGCAAAACTAGTGAAAAAATAAACAGGAAAAAAATGTAAGTCGCATCCACCTCTAAGACCACACTTTTATTTTGCACAAGTTGTTAATTTCATTAACAGTAAAGCAGCTGAGACTGATTAACAACTCCTCGACCTACTCCCTTGTCACAAGGTCAAACTGCTTGATACAACACTCTGATTAGAAAAGTGTTTCTTTAATTTTTGAGCAGTGTATCTATTATAATATACAGTCTCAAAGTATAGTTTGAATTACCATCTCACCTAAACATTTCTGCCTCAGAGATGAGCTACTGGTTTATCTGCTACTGCAATTGCTATTCTTGTTTTCAGACTTTGTGTATGACCATCAACGATGTTACCGGGATTATTTTGACACATTGACCAGTGAAACGTTCATCATATTTTCCATTTTATTCCTAGTATAAGAGACATACAATGATATTCTGTGAGACCAAATTCATAGTAAGTCAAGAGGCAAAGCCTGGAAATCAAACGGAGAAAAACATAATACTGAATCAATGAGACCTCGCCCAGATAGAATGTATTTACACCAAATCAAATACTGATAGAACTTTTAAGAGGCGAGACCGTCCCCATTTCCGTACAATCTGTTACCGGCAGATTAAAAACAAACAAACAAATTACCAAAAAAAAAAAAAAAAAAACAAAACAAAAAAAAAATTAGACCAAAACAGAAAAATAAATCCATTGAGACACTGTAGCTGCCACAATTCCTCTTATGAAACACTGCCGCCCCAACCCTAAATCAAGTTGGATGTTTTTTATTTGCCGTCTGAAAGGCTATTTAATGCTCTGCTGCCTGTTAATTACCAAATCAACTTTTTTTTCTCCTTACAAATGTTAGGTACTTTTCCTTAATTTACTGAAGCTGGAGTAGTGTGAATGGTAAACTTTACACTGGGTCAAATGAGCTCTGGGAAATTTCAATCAATAAACACCATTTTCAGATACAGTAAATAGCATAGTGCTGTTTTCACAGAATTGATCACGGTTCCAGCCACTCGTGGTCAAAGCGACTCTCCTGAAAAGTACAACAGTTGAGTTTTGAAGGGGTGATATGTCTGAGGCACAGCCGGCTGGCATCACCATTTAATGAGGTGAAAATCCTCAGCAGTGTTTGGCAGCACGGTCACCTGCGAACCGGTTCCACAATCACTTCCCAAGTATCGATCCAAGAGACAATCTCAGCCTGTCGGATCAGAGTTCATTGCACTGCTCCATATTTCTTGTCCATGTTTTGAAATTCAACACCCGGTGGCACCACTAGGTCAACATCTACAGCAGTAACCATTGTAGAAGTCATGCTACATGCCACCAACCTGGATTTATTTTCATACAGAACTGAAACCGTATGGTTTCACACACTTGCTAAAACATATATCCTGACATTCAAAACTCAAGCAAGACACTTTTTCCTCCCATAAGGTAAATGCAACTTCTACAATGGCTACTCATCTGTAGGTGATAACTTTAAGAGGAACTGTGAACTGCTCCTTTAGAAACCCAAGAAGATAATACTACAAAAAACAAAAACGTAACAATGGCACCTACAAGGAAATCGACACCCAGGTGAAAGTGACAGTATACAGTCAAACCTGAATGTCTGCAGTCTCAGGCTTTGTACTTGCTGTGTCCCACACTCGCATTAAAAACCTGTAGGCTCACACTTTTGGGATGAAAACAAAAGAAAAGTGAAAAACGAAGGGTTTCATTCCAAAACAATGCTGAAAAAAGGGTACTAGTTATTTTACGTCGATTAAAAAAAAATTAGATAATTTACAAAATATTAGCCTACTTTGTAAAAAAATTATAGTCAATATATGACATAAAATATGATTTATTAGTGGGTGTTACAGTCAAACTATTAATTCAGTTAATTAGAATCGATGAGAAATATCTTATTCTGGAATGAAACTCTTCACATATACAATAGATACTGTATGACACATACTGACAACCATAGAAAAATCAAACACCTACAATATACTGTAGCATAGTTGCCATCTGAGCCCCTTGCATTGACCCCTAAGCCCATGTCACACACTATTATTAAATAAGGCACACATTTACACATACAGTTAAAATTTGGCTAGTAATTATTCCTTTATTTACAACCAATAGCCACAGAGTTAATAATTATGATAACTGCAGTCTGTTCGATGTTCAGTGTTCATTCTCCTAACACCAGACGGCAAGACGTGTTTGTCTTGTCCTCTTTGGGTCCAAAAAATTTCAGAGAAACATGTTGGTTGTTTCCATTTCAAAGAATATTAGACCCACTAGAGTTGCGGAGCACCAATGTTGTCGAAACATTCTTGAAGAACTTAAATGGACCCGAATGTTGTCACCTGACATCAGCTGGGACAGGAAAAAATAAAAGAGAAGGCGAGTGTAGCTGCTTTGTTGAAGTATTTCCTTTGTCTTGTCATTGTGACCAAATTTGAATTGGTGTCTGGAGCCAAATGACAACATTTGATGAACATTTGATGCCCCTAAGATATTTCTTAGGGCTTGGGCGGGGGGATCGTTTGATATGCCCAAAGATGAGAGAGTATAGTAAGGCAAAGACATAACTACTTTCAGGGGATTTTTTTTTTTTTTTTTTTTTTAACCACAGGTTACACATACTGCATATGTATATGTATACATATACGGTGTAAATATAAACACACATATATATACACACACATGCATAATATAAACACATTCGAGGGTGGGGTGGGTGGGGACCGGATACCAACACTACATCAGAAAAGGTTAAGCAAAAGCATGAATCTAAGCGAGCCTCGAGCTTTTAAGTCTTCAAGATGACTGATGTGTCAAGTTTTTCCAACATCAACGTGTCCAAAAACGGAGTTGCATTGTAAATCCACATTGAGGACATTGGCAGCCTAATATAAGGAGGTGGCATCACGTCACCCAAGTAAGCGGTTCTATAATAAGCAAGTAGCTAAGCAATACCAATATGGTACAAAGATATTCGTTGGACAAAAAGAAGCGGCAAAAAACAAGTTTGGTTGAGGCTTTTGTCCACAGTGACACTGGTGCCACACAGTTGGTTGCGTTTTCAGGTAAAGGTCTGCAACCCCAAACTCACTGCATTTCTTCAAAGTTTCTTACAGATGACACAATGAGGGGAGGGGGGGAGGCTCCTTCTCTTAGTCCAAGAGCATACCCCTCAGTAGTTGAACTTTCCCTGTTCATTGACTGGGGATGTGGCAGGTATGAACAAGGGCTTGGGAGGGACGTCAGGTTTGAGAGAAGCTGCCCGACGGACGATCGCACCCCTGTGTGGAACCTCTTGCTGTTCTCCATTATAACTGTGCTGACGTGCCAGGTATCCATTGGGAAGCAGGGGATAGTGAACCTCACACGCGCTGCCCGTCGAGTTCATCCGCGCCAAAAGGGGAGGTGGCTGGTGGGGCCCACCATTTCGTTGGCTGAAGCTGTGTTGGCGAGGGATCATTCCTCCTCCCCCTCCTCCTACTACTCCACCTCCGTTGGGCATTTTGGTGGCTGCAGCAATCAGTGATTGCCTTTGGGAGGAATGTCTCCTCTCCAAGGTAGACTGGTGGTGCATGGGAATGTCTGGGGGAACATCCATGCGACGGGTGAGGCTGTCACGTGGTAAAGTGGATGAGCTGTAGTAGGGGGCTGATTCTGTCTCAGGTATCTGAGGTTGGATACGGTTGGCAAAGGCTAGCTGGCCTCCACCTCCGCTGGCCATCAGACCAGATGGGCTCATTAGCTGAGAGTTCTTGCTGCCGCTAGCCTCGTGGATGTGCTTCAGAAGCTCATCGAGTGAGGTTACTTCCATCACCTTCTGAGAGTAGCCAGCGTAAGGCTGCTGAGACAACACACGCTCAACATTGTGGATTTTGCGTTCATCGGGATGAAGGTGTCCGGCTGCTGAGTGGCTATTAGACAGTCCATGGGAGTAGGGGAAGACCTGCTGGTGAAGCAGGGCAGAGCTGGGCCTGGAGCCAATATTATGGGACTTTGGTTCCTTGGCATTGTTGCAGTTCTGATTCTTCTCCCACTGGTTCTTGAATGCTTTCATGCTCTTAATTGGCAGCTCTGGGGTCGAGTCTGGTGTAGGCAGACCAGACAGCTCTGAGGAATGGTGGAGTTGGTGATGCTGGGCATGGACCAAGTCTCCCATTGTCATTCCATGATGACCATTTCTCCTCGATGGGTGATGCTCCTTACTGTTGGCGAAGAAAGAGTTGTAGATCTTGGGAGATGACACCTCCAGCTTGTCGTCCTTACTTTGGCTGTCCAGGAGGCCATTGAGCTTGGCCAGGCTGCGCAGTGATAGAGCATGCGGGATTGGGGCTTCGGGGTCTTTCGACAACTTCTTGGTCTTGTGGCTTGTGTGATTACAGTAGCATGAAACCAGGAAGCCAGACAGGAAGGCACCAAGGACAAAGGCCACCAAAACACAAGCAATCAGAAGAGTATAATGGACACTAGGACTGGGTTTGTCTTGCTCTGGAGGTCGCCTCACACCTTAAAACAGATGAAAAGAGAAAAAGGTACTCCAGTTAGTTTTTCTGACTGAGCCAGAAGGTTTAAAAAAATAAAAACATTTTTTCCAAGAGCTAATATAGGTCAAGAAACAGCTGGGACAGACAGGTTGTGTTTACAGGAGCTTCACTATGTGGGGAAACAGCATGGGAGGGGTGTTTGAACTAAGCTCTTGGCTTCCTTTCCTTCCACTGTTAATAGATGAATACAGCCTTTCTTTCTTGGACTTGTGCTTTCACCTCAGACAGGCAGAGGCCAAGAGCTCCCCAGTCAGTGAGGAATCAACTCTGAAATGAGTTAGAGCTTTAAATATTGATGGGAGCACAGCAGCAGCAACCTGATGTCATTTTCACAGACTTCGCCTTCCAATGCGAGGATCAGGAGCGAGAGCACCTGGTACGATGAACGAGCCAAAAATAACAGGTCTATTCAATAGCTCACCGAGTCTGGCACCTTTGCCAACACAGACTCAAATGAGGTTGTCAAATTCTTTCAAAATGAAGATGAGGGGACAGTTTGCGAAACAGCACACCAAGAACACAAGGACATTAGCTAAGGTAAATCTACCATGTAACTGTCCTTAGGAGCTGTGACCCAAGCACCGTGATTGCCTAATGGCGTGAAAGGCAGGGATGATAAGGAGAGAGAAACCTGCCACCTCTTGTAATCAGAGCTCATTTGCAAGAGGCTGTTGCCATCTGTGGTGACAGACCCTTCTCTCTGCCCTTAATGACAGTTCTGCGAAACTGATTAGTCTGCAGAGGGGGACAGCTGAGCTGAACTGAAAACAGAGAAGAATGCAGGTGCTCCCCACAAGCTAAATTCAGCAGCACATGAAAGCTTAGTGGAGGAATTAAAATGGAAAACAATTATGTCTAAATCAGCCTTGATGATAGTTTCTAAGGCGTTTAAAGAGCGATTTGTGGATGAGTATTAAGGCAGCCAGTTCAGTTATTAGGTCTGCATTATAAATAGTTTTAATATTTACTTTACTTTTAAAACTTAGAGAAATTAAAATTCCTCTCAGAAAAATGAATAAAACAGAAAAGCAATCAGGGATCAGTGAAGCAATCTGGCATTGTGACAATGGTATATAACATATTGTGATTTGTATAGACAGTAACGTCTCTTGATTGCTAGGAAAGCTAACAAGCATGTGCAGTTTCAGGATATCATCTTAGTCTGCCAGGGAGTCACGAAGAGAACCCGAGGTCTCTGCCAGTCTTAGAGGATATCGGTTTTGACACTAAAGGACTTTTACTTTTTAGTATGGTGAAGAGCAGGAAGAAAACCGCCTACATAACATTATTAAAGGCAATAAGTATGTGTTAGGAGAGTCAAAAAGGGCCTTTCTGACTGGGTTTATGGAATTAGAGGGAAATATTGTAAGATATTACACAGAGAAAATCTGATCAGAGACTCGCTAAGTTTCAGTTAAATCTCTGCACAAATGCACAAGAGACAAAAGCGCAAATGAGTGGAATCTAAATTCATTTTCTTAAGCCTCAAAAGAGACCACGGTAACTACACTACACATGACAAGGAAAGACGAGCAATTTGCCTCCTGTCATCACAACTTTAATTTGACAGAATCTCATTACAACAGTGGACTGATATGTTGAAATAATAATCAAACAAGATTTATCTCTCTTTACAACAGAGCTGTATGTACACAGTTTCTAGCAATTTGTGTTTGGAGAAAGATTCAATTATTTAGGTCATGAAGTTAAAAGAAGCGAAAAAGTTTCACTTCTTTTATGTGAACTGAGCAGGTGTGCTTGTAAAAGCGTACCATCCCTTCATAATGTATCACTGCATTCATTGTGAGGGGTGATTTACCATCGTTTGCCCAGCTGAAGGATTCTGTGGTGCACTAATCTTTTTTGGAAATAATGCTTTTAATAGAGCTTCCAATTAAAAATTCTCAGTTTTTAGCCATTTATTCTTATGACTGCTTCAACTTATGACCGCATTAAAAAGTCATAAATCATAATTGCAATCCCAGTGGGCGAGGCAATCAGGAGTGATGCTGCAGTGAGCCCATTAATACCACTTCTTTTAATCTTGGGCATTTCTTTCAATCAGCTTTGCAGCATCAGTATGATTCCAAGATTTTGGATCTAACTGATGTGTTCCCTGGCGGCGTGAAGCTTTTGTAATGAGTGGTAAAACTCTGCTCTCATCTCGGTGTGCACTTTGTCTCCCGTCACCCCCGTGGCTTCCCGGTGGCTGTGAGTCATCTGCTCCCTCTGGACCACGACACCGTCCTCAGTGTCTGTGCTTACAGGCTTATAGCGATGTTCCTCCTGGTTGAGGGCTATGAGTCAAGTGCCACAGCAGGAGGTAAAACACACAGCTGAGGTAAACAAACCCAGAACCTATGAATGGCCTGTCACAACATGTTTCATGAGCAGGCTGAATAACTCAATCAGTGGGTATGTGGGACATATGGTGCCACCGGTCACAGTGAAATTAATACCCAGTGAATCATACCAACAGCCTGGCGAGTAGCTAGGTGGCGGACAGGAAGTGCTCGCCAACTTTACCTACTGAATTTGCACCACTTCACAAACATTTAAAAACGAAACAGTGTGTGCAACTAAATAAATATGTAGTTCAAAAAAAGTCTTTATTTGGGGGGGGGGGGGGGGGTCGCCCCATGTTTTACACTAATTACACAGCTCTCCATCAGTGTTCCTCTCCAGCGTTGTCACATTATATTTTTGTGTCAACTCAACATGGACTTGGCTCAGCGGTGGCTTAATATAGCAGTACCCCAAGTCTGCCAAAAGGTAAAAAGACAGATGGCTGCATGTGTCGAGGCAAAGGAGAGAAGGAGCGAGAGACGGATGTTGATAGCCAGGAAAAAAAAAAAATAACTGAAGAGAAAGATGAAGGAATGAAATTCAACCTTGGTTGCAGGGGGGGGGGGAATTTGTGGGGACCCAAGGATCCAAGACACAGGGGAGCAAGTGTAAAAGAAAAAGAAGAGGACCAAAATAAAAAAGAAAAAGACTGAGAGGGAGCAAATGTATGTGAGAAGAATTAAAAGAAGAAGACTGGGAGAGAGGCAGAGTGAGAGATGCAGACTTGACGGGGTGAGTGACAGACCGTCACTCTGCTGGGTTTTGAAGCCTGGTGCTCTGCGGCATCTGTGATACGGATGGAGAACAAGCCTCGCGTTCCTCCACAGTGCCGTAGGAAGAGAAGCACTTTATGATTGCATCCATATTGTTAAAAATAGATAGCACGGCAGGTTATGTAAACAGGCAGATTTTACATAGCGCTGCCTGTGCCACATCTTACTAATTGGTGCTGGTTTTTGCACGAGGGGAAACAAAGTATGGAGGGCTTACTGTTGATAGGTGTGTTTTAAGAGTTTCCCTTTTTTCCCCTGCAGGTGATAAAGGCGAGTTTGAAAACAAATTACAATGGAAGTGACAATTTATCTTAGGAGTGCGCGATTAAATAAATGGATCCTGTCTTTGCAAGCTTTCAAATCGACTTCATTAACAAACACCCATAAGCTCTTCCATGACACCAATTACCGGTAATCTGAACCCTTTGAAGTTTCACACTTGCTCAATTGTGAAAATTTCCTTTTGCATGTCTTGCAGGACATTAAAGCATTAACACTCTACAAAACTTGAATTTTAAATATTAAATATAAAGAGGGACTGAATACCAACACTGTCAAGGTCAGATGCATAATAATTCAGAGCTTTTTCTCTCACGCACAACTTTTCCAGTGGAGAAGGCTTTTCTCAAGGGTGTGTTTAAATGCTTTGTAACCTGGAAAACAATTTATGTTCTATTTTTTTCGTATCAAGTGAAGACGTTCCAAAATAGCCCTAATTAGTTTCTGCTTTCTGCAAGCTTACAAGTGCATGTAATTGTTCTGTTAATGGCTACTCCATCCCAATGAGAAGCCAATGAGACAAAATTGCCCCAGGCTTCATAGACAAGCATTGCCCCCCGCCTGCTAATGCTTCCACACCAAAAATAACAATTTAACTCTTGAGAGACACCCTGAGGTTGAAGATCGGAACAAATTAATTATTTGCCTTTTTTCAAGTCTGTGTGAAAAGCAGAGCAGCTCTGCCCCATTGCTGTGAGCTTTTAGTAATTTGACATTTTTAATACTTGATGTCTGCACACTGACAGACATGGTTAGCAAATGGAGCATGATTGTGCGCATCAGTGTGCGTGTCCACACAGATACACGGAATATCCGGGCTGTATGTGTGCAGGGCTCTGGCTGTTGACAGAGTGAATTCAATCATGTACACTTGTTATTAGGCATTTGCATAATATTCCACCTCAGTGCTCAGCCAATTGGATGCGGTTTAATATATGCACACGAGCTAAGGTGATATGGTGTAATGTAACAGATCCATTCCAATTGAAAAGTAGTTGTAATGAGCGCTGCATTTCATTCCTGGTGTGCTGATGCATACAGAGCATATATCTCATTACAGTTTTGATTGAATATTGGTAAATTAACCATGCTGAGACATCTGGTAATCAGAATCTGGTGTCTGCCTGACATCCTTCAATATCTACACCTGTGCTTTGAGAAGACAGACATGTTTTCAAGCAGCAGCAACAATATATTTTGCTTCAAAAACCCAGACAGGAAATAGTTTGGTTAAAGGGTCTAGCCTTCCAGATTACCCAAAAAACACATTTTCTCACTTCTTGTGCAGACAGGTTTAATTTGATTTATCCTTCTTCTAATTTATCAGCCTCCACACTTGATGAAGCCACGTCAGCACATCTAAAGGTGACTGAGCTTTGTTTGCCTAAAAAAACAAATCTTGCTGGAAAAAAAGAAAGACTCTTCCTCAAGGAAATGGGCCATGAACACAATCTTCAGAGGCTGATATCTCCCAAAAATAGGTGCATCTTTTACTGGACTGCAGTTTACTTACATGAGTAAATGTGCTTTTTGTTGTCATTATATAAATTGGTATCGGGTTTAC